ACCAGTGGAGAACACTAAATTGTGACAAAAGTAGCGATCCCCTAAGTGGAAAGTCTTGCGAGGCTGTACAAGTCTGAACGTATAGCGCAGTGCGGGCAGTCTCCAAAGTACAAGACGTCTTGGTCACATTGCTGGTCGGGGATCACGTCTCTGGACTGGGATTTTGCACAGTGGAAGGGGAGTGCTGAAATGAAGTTCTGCTTTCTGCAGAGGTTTTAGGAGGAGAGGGAAAAGGAGACTGATAAAACCAAACCAGTCCTCACATTTTGACTGGAAGATGACTTCATGGTTTCACAGCTGCTTCTGCAGCTTTCTCCTCTTCTCTGACCCAACCTTGGGACTCCAAAGATCATACAATCATAGAATCGTTTAGGTTGGAAAAGACCTTTAAGATCATCCAGTCCAACCATTAAGATGGGAGTGACATGGGTGGATGATGGAGCTTTCCAGATTTCCAAGCGCCCTCATGTACACAAAACCTCATAGATGAGGTACTAGCAGATGAATCTGCTATAACTTTACAAGGTAAAATACTGTATTTTTTCCCCTGACTTCCTAGTGTGGGAATAACTTGGTTTTTAAATGAACCTGTCTGGGGATGATTCTGGCCTGTGTTTTGCTAGGTTGAATTTTTAAGAATTTGTAAATATTAGTAAAAAAGTGGATAGCATTCTCCATTTGAAATTCATGGCATGAGCTGTTCAGAATTTCTGGTAGTGAGCAGTTGAGATGAAGCAATAGGGGCTGCAAGAACTGCATTCTGAAAACCAGCACCATGCTGGGAAACCACACAGTGTTTCACTCAAAATTTTATCAATAGTCTTCTGTAATGATTTTAGATACTTATCAGTGGGTTTTCTGGGATTTTTTTTTTGTTTGTTTCTTGTGGGGTTTTTTGTTGTTGTTGTTCTGTATAGTCTGATACATGTTGTCCAGCTGTTAATGTAGTCATGCCCTGGCTTGCAAAAGTTGCAAAAAACGTTGGCCAAGTGACAATCTGTACATTTTCTGTAACAAATGGTCTCCAGCTTTACTTCAAACAAACAAAGGTGGTGTATAGTAGTTCAAGATAAATGTGTTTGGGAAACTTTAATACATGATTTCCTTTGCCAGTTCATACTCATTTTCACTCGACACATTACTTTTTCATTTGTAAGCAAAGCAAAAAAATTGCTTTTGGTCTGTTGGAGTTTCTTTGTTTTGGTATCGTTCCTTCCCTGCAGCTGCTCCCCTCCAGTAGCTTGGAGAGCCCAAGATACCAGAAGATTTGTGGAAAATACACTGAGATCTTGTTGTTGTCTAATAATGTCTATGTTGGTTTAGAATCTCTTTCAATAATATATATTTTATGTTTGGCTGAGCTTCTTTATCCTTCTTCATGTAAAGGTTGTTATCATTTTTTTCTGCAAGTGCTCATCCACTGCAGGCTTAATGCAAAGCTGATTGTAACCCTACTGCATCTTACAATGAATAGATCATTGATACCCAACTAAGTGGAAATAATTTTCTATGGCAAAGCAGAAGATTTTAAAGTCGTATCACACTAACCTCTGGTAATTTACTGAGATTTACAGATTAAAACGATTATTTGTGAAATGACTGTGGTATAACATACACTTAAGATAGAGGAGGAAAATCAAATGCACTTTGTATGATTGTATACACTTGTCTATTTTTACATGTGTACATAAGCATTTTGTTTGTATATACATAGCATATGCAGTATAGCATACTGTAACCTGTGTGTGTAAAAATACATATAATATTTATGTAACACTCACACCCATTTGACAGCTTTGAGACTGCAGATGGATTTTTTGAAGTTGTAATTTTTTTTTTTTTCAGATTTGATTTAGCTTGTTACTTTTTCATAAGGAAAAAAAATTATACTTTTAACTCATACTATGCTAATTAAGTTAGTCTGAAGCTCTATCCCTTGAATCAACCTGAAGAGCATTGGTTATGTCTAAGATCATGTAATTGATGCCAACAATGTAATTTTACTGTATTGGCAGGTAAACATACAGTGTTGTTTTGTCTTTGTTCAAATGGAAGACTTCCCTTGCTTTTTGGTGTAAAACTCCTAGTAAATAATTTGCAATTTATTAGGAAAACAATGACAATGCATATAATTAGCTACTCTCTTTTGCTACCTCTATTTGATTACTTTCCTGCTATCACATGCAATATGAAACCATCTATTATGAGGTATAGAATATGTAAATATCTAACTTTACAAGAGAAACTGGAGACTGGTCCTTTTTCTAAAGAGGTGGAAAATAAAAGAATAATTGTTAACCATGTCCTTTCATTTTCTTGAAAACATCAATTACATTTACAAATCCCAGAAACACAAGCCCACCAGTGGAACAGAAATAACTCCTTTCAATATGCTTCAAAAAATCTAATCACATCTAACAGCTGAAATTTATTTACAACTGTAATTTGAAACATTAATTATGATAATGTGCTGACTTCTTTTGTAACATGGTTCTCAAAAGCCTGGCAGTTCTCTTTTTGGTCTTGATGTAACATATGTTTTGTGACTTGGAGTATTTCTCTACCTTTCTTTCTTGTTTTTGTTTTTTGAAATATACCCAGAAAGGAAATTTCTTTTTCTCTCTGTTTGTTAACTGTTTTCCTCACCTTCCCCATTATTCCCCCCAACCCGGCTGTTAATTCAAGAAATGGATTTTAGTGCTGATGCTGACTCTTGATGCTGTCGACAACTGAATGTAATGCTTTGTATTTTGGACACAGCAAACAGTAGCAGTGAGGATTTACTATACTGTGACACCAGTGCACTTCAACAGCGTCAGGGCAGGAAAAAAGCTGCTTATATCTTTGTCTTGTCTTGAGACTATGGCTTTAGAATGTGCCTTCTTGATATAAATATACATTTGGCTTTATTAAATTATTTTGAAAGGGCTTGGTTATTGCCATTATAGCTTATTTAATTATGAATAAAGGGAATCTGTGTGAGGAAATACTTTAATGATTTAGTTTTCAGTTGTGCAAAATAAGTCAAGTTGTCAAGATACCTGGCTTTACTTTAAAAGCCTTTAAAGAAAATGACAAAAGGGCTCTATTTTTCTTTTTGTTTTGTTTTTTAAGTTGTGTTTTTCTGTGTGATGGGGAGATTAGCCAAAAAAAAAAAAAGGAATTTTTATTAGGACATGAAAAGGTCTCTAATGACCCTTGAAAGTGGACAAAAGGGTAGCACAATAAGTGACAGAACTCTAACAAGGGTGGAGGGCATTCCAGGAAAAAAAGAAATTAAATCCTTTAATTTTTTTCGGCTTGCCATTTTCTGACAGCTTATCAAGTGGTTGGGACTTGTTTGTTTTGGCATGCAGCTCATTCATTGTAGGCAGCCGGTACTTTGTTCTTCTTTGTGGTTTCCAAAACCTGATTGTGTTTATCCTAGACTGTGGGAAAAGTGTATATTCCTGTTTCCTTTATAAAAGTAAACGCCAGGTTTTGTATGAAATTTTATTTCCCATATTTTCCATTCCATTAATCATTATTGTTGAAATATGTCAGGCTTTGGCACATCATCCTTTGTTTTCATATGATTGTACAGATTGCAGTGTCAGTGTGTGACCTGTTAAGTCAAAAAATAAGCATGTTTGGGCTGTAGTAATTATTACTTCATAAAGTGTAGCTGAGGAATATGCACCATTATTGAAAAGGGACCAGGATTTAATTTATTGCTATTAAAATTGTTTCGGGGGATATCTAGCTATTGTTGTATAGCACTTTCTCACTTAGTCTAGAGAAGGCAAGGCTAAAGGGAGCTGTGATAATGGCTCTTCACAACATACTTGTAGGTAGCTGTAAAAAGAAAGGCAATAATCTGTGTTTCCCGTCTGTGATGAAGGAGAATTAATGTGCTGCCGTTGCAGTAAGGGTTATTTTAGTCAGATAACTATGACAAAACTTCATAATGATAAGGATGCTGAACGCTGGGATAAATTGCCGAGGGAGACTGTGAAATCTCTGCAAGCGAAAGATTTTAAGAATAGGTTAGACACACATCGTTTGGGAGTGACACAGGTGTGTTTTGATTCTGCCGGGGGTACTAGACTAGAATATCTCTCAAGATGATTTGCAGTCCTGTTCCTACGTTTCGTTGTCCTTAAAATGCTGAAGATCTCTGTGCAGCTCTTTGTTTGCAATTTGTACTCACCTTCTCAAATCTGTGCTTCTGTACTCGTATGTACGCATGGCATTGTGTAAGTATTAGGGCTGCGGTCTGTGACTAGGGCCCTGATTTTGGGTCTATACGTGCTGTAATTTAACAGCAGGAAGAAAAAGGGAGAAGAAACTTTTAACATTGAAGGAGGAGACGATTCACAAGAAGAAAGAATTCTTTGTGTGTTTTGCATATTCAGATTATCGATAATACTGTGTTAAAGCAATAACATTTTCTTTTGCATTGTCTTGTGGCTTACTGACAATGTAATATTTGAAGACTGTTTAATAACTTCAATCAACTCCTGAGCCGCAGTAGGTGACCAGACATTTCATAAGGTCATTTTTTACCCCTTTTTTCAAAGTAGCATCATTGGAGGTTTGCATTTTAAAAAGAGATTAAAATGTCTCTCATTAGGAGAGAATGAAGGTAATACTAAATGTGAGTAACAGGAATACAGAATCACAAATGTTTAGAGATGGCGAAAGCCTCATTATTCATGACATTAATCTTTCTGCAAGCCCAAGGTTGTTCTGTCTTATATTTGGCCGTATTTGTTTTCATTTTTCTTCAGAAATAAATTCTATTGAGTTGACTGAAACAAAACCAAAATCCAAGCTGAAGTATGAGTTAGACTTCTAGTACTGAAATTCTTGAAGGAAATTATTATATTTTATCTGTTTTATGTATAGTTTTGTGTACTCAGTTTGTTTTGATTACTTTACAGTGATGTGACAGAAAGAAAATGGAATGGTTTCAAATTCCGGAGAAGGTTCTAATCAGTTTTTACATCTGTTTTTTTCAGCGGCTTTCTCGGAATGCCTCTGGAGATACAAGCATTCAGTTTCTAGGCACAGTGGTAAGTATGTATAACTATCGTCAAGAGTTATGTTTGTAGAAGAACATAATCTAAACAGAAAAAAGGTAAATTATACTGGCAGCACATTTATGCTTGTCTTTCTGAAGGTTAGTATTATGTGTAAATATTCTGAGCTTAACAGCTGAATTTAGTCAAATTTCTGAAGCTTCCAAGGCATGGTGCACAGTATCTGCATTCCACTCTTCAATTGATTCAAGTCTGCCTCTGTTTCATTTATAAGGGATTTAAGGGTAACTGGTTGTAGACTTGTAAGTTTATTGCAACATACTCAGGTTTGATCCACATCAGGATCAAAGCCACTCTTCCCCACCACCTCAACTTTCTGATCTCTGTTGCTTCACCGTACTGCATACCCTCATATCCCAGAGGCGGGTCAGTAACTGTCTTATAAAAAGACTGTATAGTGATGCAAAGTGTTCTGTGCTTCTCCCAGATTCTGTTTGTTGGAGGGAAGTACGTTTAAAATCCTAATCAAATTTTACACAACTGGACAGAATTTACTCAATAAAATGGATTTTTCTTGTGCTATTATCTTGAGCAGTCACGTATACTATAGAAACTAAAGTTTTATGTTAGGTGCTGGATGTTTATAAACATACATGTGATTGAAGCAGCATCAAATTCCATGATTTGCGTGATTAAAATGCAGTCATTGAATTTTTCCAAGTTCCTTACGCACATAAAAATAGTTCTGAAAATGAAATAAAATTGAAATATGCTCTAAAGTAAGTTGTCCTGATTGCTGCCAACAGGTTTCTCTGTAGTGACATTACCAGTCAAAAGCCTGGGAATGAAACGTTCCCGTTAGAATTTAGTCCTGAAGTCTCTGTGCACTATATGTTTTGGACAAAAGTAGATTGAGTGCATATGATAATGCTGTCATTCCACTTACTTGTGATTAGTTCTCCAAGTCCTGTGAAGCCATTTTTTGGGAGGTATAACACGGTAAGAGTAAACTTAACAAGAATACCTGTAGACTTGCCTGATGTTTTTTAAAGATGAAAAGTGCCCCTAATATTTTTTGCTTCTGTAAATATATCTCTACATATGCATATACATTTATTTGTCTTATTCAATATCAAGCAGAGCGGCGGTTACAAATAAGACATAAAATAAAAGTTTTGTTCTGCGCTGTTGTACTTGTAAGGATGCTTTGGCTCTGGAGTGGCATCCTGCATATGCGAGATTGCTGCTAGCTGACTGATCTGATAGTCTTTGTGTGAGAAGAAAAGAATTACTCCAAGTAGATAAGATGTAAACACAAATGCGACTCGATAAGATAATAATGGAAAGATTTTAATCACTTCCCTGTAAGTAGGTGCTGTAGCAGAGAAAATTCTGATTAAGCGTGTATTTAGTGACACTAAAAATTAAATTTCTTGTTAAGTTAGATATGAAAACATTTTGTATTCATATGTTAGAAGTGCCCCGGAGTCTCACTTACAGACTTGAACTCTTGTACTGGGCCTTGTGCAACAGCAAAAGAAGACAAAAGAGAGTGCAGTATTGATGTGCTTTTAGCTTTAGAAAAATGATGATGAAACAGCTAATGGATTGTAATATATATCAGATCTTACTGACTAGATCATGTGCGTTTATTGGATCCTAGTTATTTTGGGAAATCAAGTATGTGATTACAACTAAAATTCTCAAGAGGACTAAACAGAAAAGCCTGTAGTACTCTAGCCACAATTTTTTATTTAATATAAATTATGCACGTCTAGCTGATCAAACCCAGAGAGAGAACTTCAGCGAGCAGGGTAGAGAAGCAGTAATGAAGTCTGCTTCCCAGGGTTTCCTCCGATACCAGTTTTCCCACGAAATCCAAGCCAGAGTCTGCACCTGTGTTCCTATCAGTTCCTCTAGCTTACTGTCCTTCTCCTTTCCCCTAAGTCCCTTTATTTAATTTGTCCTTTGCTCCTTTACCATCCTTGTACTCTTCTGATTTCAACTTAATACGCTCAGCATAGGTAATGGGGGGGGAAGGATGGGTTTTGCTTACAATAACATCCCCTACAAATTGCCTACACATATAGATACACAGCCTATATGCGTGTACCTGCTTGTGTATGTGTGCATATACACAAATGTAAATGTTCAAACAAAGAAAAGAATATCATCTTAATGAAGGTCCTAGAAATACATTTTAGGCTCACCATTACATTTATCTTACTAAACTTTTGCTAACATAGAAGTGCAGTCAAGATAGTAAGTGTTTCAAAGGAAGATTTAGCAGCAAGAAACTCCTGATTGCTCATTTCTATTGTAATGTATTGTTATCAACATAATAAACAGCTTGTGAAGTTATTGCTGTGCTCTTTTTTTGGTAGTAGAAAACGTTAGGGATAGCTTTGAGCATTCTGTATTACTTTTGACGGGGGCAAATGTTGATGGCACCTCAGTGGTGGCAGGCAGCGTGGTGCTACTGAGCGTACACACCGCTCACCTGTCCAGCGGAACGTGTTTTTAGAACCAGCTGATCAGGAGCACAGCTCCCTGGCTTGTCAGGAGGGCATCAGCTTCGATAAATGGCTTCACTTGATTTTTTTGACATTGGATGGTAGAAACAATTCTGCTACTGGGTTTTGATAAAACACAAGCCCCTGCTTCAGGAAGCCAGCTAACACTCTGAGGAGAAGTGAAAGGTATGCTCCTCTACTAGAAGCATCCTTGCTGTCCCAGTTAGCGAGGTGAAGGACAGAGAAAACTACTTTGCAGCAGAAAGGCAGCAGTTTAGTAGGAATTCTGCTGCATAACATACGGTAAACATGTGGACAGTAGGACAAGGGTTTTTGTTAGTGTGCCAGCATATTTCTGTTGTTTTAGAGGAGAACAATAAAAATCATGTTGCTTCCCCCACTGAAGTCATAGCTTTGAGTGCACACTGTTAGCATCATTTGGGGGTCTGCGTGGATTTGTAATAATATTTTTGTTTGTTGCTGACCATGAGTAGAAATTCTTTGCTACTTGAGCATTTCTCTTCAAATTGTAGTGGCACTAGATAGCTTATTTTCTCAGAATTGTTTTTTGGTAGAGGGCTATGAGTGTCAGATCTGATAGAGGACTCGTGCTGTTGGAGGCTATACAAGGATGTTTCTGCACAAGGAGCAAGCAACTTTTATATACTTTTAGCTGTAAGAAATGGTTGGTGAATGGAAAACTACACTGTTTTGGTTTAATTTTCTCGGGATGATAATATTTTGAGTCCTAATTAAATTATTTCAGAACAGATCATGGGTTATTGCTGTAATTGAGACTTTATATGAGTTTTTGCTCGTTGTTCCTCTCTGATGGATGCGACTAGATACTATGTGCTGATGCAGTCCTACTATTCTGCCACTTTAAGCTAGAATTATTCAGACAGTGTATTTATTAATACCATTGCCATAACACCAGAGAATCTTACTGTGCTGTATATTGTACAAAGAAAAAGGAAACAAGATAATCCATGCTTCAGATTAATGCCCAAAACTGTGCCCAAAAGCAAGAGTACCAGGAAAAAAGGAGGCAGTCCTTTATGGGTTGTCTCCGGTGTGTAGGCAGCTCACAGAAATAGGTTTGTAACAAACATAAAGCTGTATAGAAAAATGCTAAGATCTGTACACAGAGCTTCTGCTTCAGCTGCTGCAGTTCAAAAGCCTGTATGTTTGAGTAGTATTTTCAGAGGACCAAAGTCCACCCTTCATTCCTCTCTTTCTAGTCAGCCTGCAGTTTGTCGTGTCTCTTGTCTCTTCATTCCACCTCCTGTTCTCTTACGTGAGAGGAATGTTTTTTGCTGGTCCACTGATGGCCCCAGTTGTTGGTTGGTTATTCACACCTCTGTCAGCTGGACTTCAGCAATGAAATACATCTGGGCAGGCAGCCTTTTTAACACTGAGAAAGCTGCAAGTATATAGAGAACTACAGATCATTATGGAAGCATTAAACTTACTCTAGACTCTGTGTAATGGCCTCTGTGTAGAATTCTGAATAAAGAAGTACTGTCTGTATGCTCAGGCAGCGAGTGGCCTGGCTCCATCGCATCCGTGACGTCATTGTCAGCTTTGGGCTGCAGGCCATGCTTGACAGTGATGCTCTGCTGTGGAACACTTTCTTCAAAAGAGACAGTCCCAGAGAGTGAGAAGTCCCCAGCCACAGTGGAAAATTTCACTATCCTCTGCTCATCTTCTGTGCCATTTCTTTGATGTTCTGTTCTCTAACATCAGAGCAGCGATACAGAGAAAAACAGTTACTTCTTCCCTCTGGGGAAGGATGAAAGAACATATATGTGACAGATCTTAGTCATGTTGCTCAGTATATTACTTGACAATGTTCCTTCAGTGGTGAACACAATATAGGAACCCACATGGAACAGAGCGGAATTGCTCTGGCCTAAGGATCAAGCCGTCTCTAGGTGCTTCTGAGTCTCCTAGCACCATTTTCTTCGTTCAGCCTTCTCACTGGAGGTTTTTCCATTGCTTCAGTCTCATCCCTGATGGAGTGCTTTTTGCCACCTTTGATTTACAAAACATTTGAAGTTTTGCTGTGGAGGTTTATGCTCTCTTATGATTACTGTTAGCCTGTTAATGCTATGCTTTCTGTTCTTCAGCCTTTTTGCAGGCCCATTTCAAATAGTCCAGAGACCCGCCGCCACAACCAGATCCGCAAACTCCAGGTTGAGAACACTGGATTTAGGAAAACTAGTCTCTGCCAAGCCCTGGCCATGCTTTTTAGTGTAGTTGGCATATGTTCTAGTACAGTAGTGATCACTCAATATTAATGACTTTCTGATTGTCCTTTAGCTACTTCCAGATAGATTGGCAAAAGGATGTTTCATACACAATCAGGGCCATTAGTTATGTATGTTGTTTATGAAGTTGGTCAGAAATGGAGAGCTTTACGTAGAGGCACTCCTCAAAATCTTTGCCTCTGCTTCCTGGCTTATTGCGTATCCATCATTTACATATCTAAGGTAATCCTAGGAGCTACCGGTCAGTATA